TCCTCCTTCTTCTTCTTCTCTTTTGGCTTTTTTGATACAGTATCTCCCTGTAGCCCCAGCTGGCCTAGAACTCACTATGTAGACCAGGCTGGCCTTGAACTCACAGAGATCCGATCTGCCTGCCTCTGCCTCCTGAGTGCTGGGATTAAAGCTGTGTGCCACCACGCCTGGCTATTTTCATATTTTTAATGTGTGTATGGTGTTATGCCTGCATGTGTGTAAGTGCACTCATGTCATGCAATGCCCAAGGAAGACAGAAGAGGGTGTCAGATTCCCTGGTATTGAAGTTATGGATGGTTATTAGCCACCACGTGGGTGCTGAGATTCAAACCCAGGTCTTCTGCAAGAACAACCAGTGCTCTTAACAACCAGTGCTCTTAACTGCTGAGCCACCTCTCCAGTCCCTGGTTTTAGTTGTTTTGTTTTGCTTTAACATGTATGATTGCTTGCCTGTATGTATTTAAGTGCACTGGTGTGTGCAGTGCCTGCAGAGGCCAGAAGAGGGCGTATGATTCCCTGGAACTGGAGTTATAGATCCTCTACAAGAGCAGCCAGTGCTCTAACCCCTGAGCCAGCTCTCTAGTCCTGAGACGCTTTAGTTTTGGAATATGGAAGGTAGATGTTGGAGTATAGGAGTCTCTGAGCCTTCCAGGAAAAAAAGAATGTCTAAGGTTATTTGCTTGGTCCTCCCACTGGAAAAAGGAGTTTGAATATTTGTGAGCAGTGGGAATCAGAGTGGCCTATAGAGTGCATGGAGCTGTTTCATCCCACCCCATGTGCATGGCTCTGCACAGCTCCCCTTATATCTGCACTGCCACTCCCCACAGCTAGCATGGCTGTGGCTGTTTTAGTGTCACTAAGTTCATGAAAGCTGCGTGTCCCCTTCAGGGGGGTCACAGGGTTAGAAAGCACACCAAGAATTCCTGGCCTAGAGGGCCTGGCTCCGCTTCAGTGCTGAAGGTCCATAGTCACCGTGCACGCGCACACAGCCACCACCAAGTTAGTGCCATAAAGCGGGTGAGTATCTTAAAACTAAAAAGGAGTTAGCAGCTAGTCCTGGTAGAAAAGTACCTCTAAAACAGCGAAGTACAAAACCAGATACCTGCTTTTTAAATGTGTCTTTGGTATGTCCTTTCAGTGCTGCTACACAGGGTACGTTCCGTAGAAAAACAACAACCAAAACATATGTTACCCCCCTAACTCCTACAGTTAACTTGAGAAAATAATTCAAAATATTTTGTCACAGGCAGTGCTTATGGAGAAAGAGCCCGGGGGACGGGAGCCCGAGGGGGGCAGGGAGCCCTGCCACTGTCACGCCTTAGCTATTCGTGTCCTAACTTCTAAATTCCTAGTTATTCTAAAGTCTGTGCTGCTCACTTTATCACTTTCTCTGTTTTGATTTTATTACATTCCTTAGGTTCTCTTTAATAAGCCCCAGGTTCTTACTGTGGAGCAGGCCTTACTTCTTGCCTGGTGATATTTCCTCTGTCTTGACTATTTTCAGGGAGGAAAAAGCTTTGCTCAGGTGTTAGTGCATTAAGAACAGCTCTGCCAAGACAATTTTATACTATACTAACTTTCCCATCCCTGTGTTCTTACACATTATTTTTGTTATTTTCTATCTACCTTTCCATAAATATGATTTGTTTAGATGTTTCATTTCCTCATATTTAAAGAAAAATGTCTCTGGACCTGCTTTAGTAAACTGTTCATTTAAGTTCCTAGGGAGAAGGCAGACCATAGATTGGCAGGTTCTGTGCTGCTCTCTGTCCCCTTCCGCCTGTGTGGTTAGTTACCTGTACTCTTCTGCAAGCACACTTGATGCAGCCACTCTGCACCAGCCACTGTGTTAAGGGGTTCAAGAATCTCTGTAAGAATTAGGAGGCAGAGAATCAGAAACATTTTCCAGGGAAAGAAATCCACATGGAGAAGCTGCAGAGCCCTGCATTCCCAGACCTGGTCTTAGCTTTAGAGACTTGCAGAATGGCCAAAGGGGACTACACCAGTGATCCACAAGGAGTTTGGATTCCATCCTGAAGGCAGTGGAGAGAACTGGATGACCTGAATAGGATTTATAGAACCTAATAGAATTGATTATAGATTATAGAATCAAATTTGTATTTGAACAAGATTTCCACACAGCTTTAATGTACACAGTGGATGTGCAGGAGAGAGGAAGGACAGGAAGAGATCCGATAGCAGGCAACTGCAAAATGCAGCAATTTGGTCCTGAATTCAAATGTCCTAAGCCCAGAATTTGTAGTAGCCAAGATCAGGAAGCCTAAACACCCATCAGTAGTAGAAAAGATGAACCATCGTGGTCTGTTTACACACTGGACGTTTCTACTGCAGTTAGAGCGAACTGTTGCCACGCAGAGCGCATGGACGGAGCTCGGCAACACACTGAAGCCAGATGCCGTAACATGAGAGTTGGTCTATTTATAGATTGCAGAAGTCAGTAAACTTCTGTATGCTCATAGCGGCCATGGTAGCTGCTGTCTTTGGAGAAGGTTAGGAGATGGGTGCTGCTTGATGGTGGAGGTGAGGGGACAGGCGTGTTCACCTGGTCAGCATTCACACCTGAGAATCCTGAGTTTTTCTGAAATGTGTTAAACTTCAGTAAAACGCTCCTTTTCCGCGCTGCTGTTCGCCCCTCCCACTTTGCAACTCGCCCAGGGCGGCGGGTCTGGTGGCCGTCACACCTGAGAATCCTGAGTTTTTCTGAAATGTGTTAAACTTCAGTAAAACTCTCCTTTTCCGCGCTGCTGTTCGCCCCTCCCACTTTGCAACTCGCCGAGGGCCGCGGGTCTGGTGGCCACTGCCTGAATCCTTGGCCTTTCCTCCGACCGTTCATTGCACGGTGCGTTTCTCCGTGGCAGCCTCTGTCAGAGTGACTGTTCAGCACTACCTGAGCGCCACTCGGATAATGGAGAACTTGGTGAACACTTTGAATAAACCAAGAAAATAGAAATGTGCTCATTTAAACAGTGTTTCCTCCCTTTGTGTAAGTAGTTTAATTTGGAAAGTGCATTGGGATTCTGAACAGCTTATTGGTTCATTTGCTGGAGCGTACAGTGGGGCCTTTCATATTATCCATGTGCTCTGAGTTAGGCGTGCAGCTCTCCTCAGGCAGTTCGACTGCTGATTGACAGGTGACATCCATCCCACCTGGTACCATAGTTCAGGGAAGGGCAGGAAATAGGCCTGATTCTGTAAGCAGGACATTGTCAGGGTTAATATCACCTTAGGCAGCATCAGTGATGATAGTTACAGTAAATATCAGGTCCTTTAGTCAGGCTACACTTACCAAGCCTAGCATCTGTCCTCTCCAAACCCATGTAACACTGTCTGGATCTTTGAGCCCAGCACTCTCTCCAACTAATTGCAGGCAGCATGCAGCATTCTTTAAAGAGAATAGCAGCTAAAGCGTGTGAAGAACAGTGTGAAATCAAGTAGAAGCTGTAGGCTTTCGAGGCAGTGCCGTGATTCCATTTTTGTGGCAGTCAGCACATGGCAACTAACAACCGTCCATACCTTAAGTTCCAGGGGATCCGACACCCTCTTCTGGCTTCCACGGGCATTGCATGATACGGGTGCACTTACATACGTGCAAGTTTAACGCTCATACACATAAAATAAGAAAAGATAAACAGGGTCTGGAGAGGTGGCTCAGCGATTAAGAGCACTGACTGCTCTTGCAGAGGACTCAGGTT